AAGAGAGAGAGAAAAGGGGGGGGGGCAAAAATATCGCTAAAATCTCTTGTTTGGCAACAGTATAAAAAAGAGCAACCGAGGACCTCTACAGAGTGCAAATAGGCTAGCTGGCAAGATGTTACCTTGTCATTTTGTATAAAGCTCTTATAACGACCCGCTTTATCCAGTCTTCATGTTAATCACATTTTAAGCTAATAGATTATGAACAATCATAATTATCATCCTGCTCTAAACTCACTCCCACTTCTCGATGGTGAGTAAATAGTTATAGATGTCATGTCACCAGTTTCGTGTCTTATCGATATCATCTAAATAAATAGCGGAGTACAGAACACGCTAAGGGGATCAAGGACTGGTGATGGGTCTCTTTAACATTGAGAAATGTCTAAGCGTCTCACACAGCTTCTCCCAATCCAGCCAACCGTACCTGCCCGTCGTGGTCCCTGTCCTCACTGACACGGCTGTAGCGAATGGCGAGTTGTTGACGCCAACAAACCCACCCCTCCCTCCCCGTTTCCTAGAGGGTTTAAACAACAGGATGGGAGTACGGGTGCCCCCACAAGGTGCAGGAAGCAGAGCCCACCGAACACACCACTATTATTCACCCCCGAGTGAGTGTCAAATCTGCTTAACACCTCTACTACTCTTTATCAACACATCCTGTGTGGCTGAGAAGGAACAAGCCAGTTTGAGAATGTCTGTGTACAAGGATGGACCAAGCAGACAGCGTGACTTGCCTTCTGGTCGTGGACCTCTTAGTAAAGGCACAACGACCCAGGACGTGATGATCCAGCGACTTTTGCCTTTGCCCAAACCTAATGCGAGAGTGAACAATTTTATCCAGTAGCCATTGGTGACTGGGAATGGGCAACGTGAACCCTACCGGAACTACACGGTCACAGGGCAGTTAGATCTTTTCAGTCTCATGAAAGCCCCTGCTACCCTCCTGTCCTCAACATGAATGGCCTCTTCTCGGGGTGGGCAGGCAGTCCACAGACACCCCAGTCCACAATGCAATGACACAAAGAACGAAACTTCATGCGAGCTCGTACGTCGCCTCGTTAAAAAAGGACCGCGTCAGGCAGCGCAATCACCGGGCTGCTCTGAGCGACGAAGTCAGCTACAGGTGATGCACAGAAACAGTGCTAAATCACCACGGAAAAGCTCTCTGTGTGAGAAGGGAGCCAATTACATCCCGGAACACAAGAAGAGTTCCCTCAGCCTCTTGCAACTCAACATCTGTGGTTTGGGGAACAAGAAAACAAAACTCCTCCAAGATCCGAAGGACAGGCAGATTCATGTTTCCCTCCTTCAAGAAACCCTACACAAAGGTACGGACCTGAACCTCACAGGATACACCAGTTACGCCTGCACATACACAGGATGCCGCGGTGTAGTCACTTACCTGCGAAACGATGTTCAGGGAGATGTCGTACACTTATCATCTGCCCAACCGACAGATATCCAGAAAGCCACCATATGGCACATTGGTAGGAAGTACACACTTTACAATGTTTACAGCCCCCCACAGTCAACATGCGACTTGTCTGATCTGCAAGCAGCCTACTATGAAAAAAGCATCTGTGTGGGTGACTTCCATTGCCACACTCCTGAATGGGGCTACATCAACTACAGACTTCAACATAAGTTAAGGACCACATTGACAGACAGCCGTGATTTTTTTCTTAATCCGAAAAAAAGAAAGGAATGTTTCAAAAATGTTTTGCTCTGAAAGTGTTAATGGTTTACCAAGGCGTACTGCAAATATTCCGGGAGTGGCAAAACCACTATGTACAGCACGAAATTCCTTGGGGAATTTTAGCCAGAATTGCTGTTTTTTATCGACTTAAGTGCAGCACCACGAACATTCCTCAGTTAAAATTTCTGGTGCACGTTATAAAAGACGTATGGTCTCGAACTGTGTTCACGTTCGTGGCAATAAAAGCAGCCGTTTGCGAAAAATCCAGTATCACATCAACATTTCGCCAAGACGAAGGCTGAGAGATTTTCATCGTGCCAGGGCTTTGGCATGGCTGCAGGATGGCGTTGGAACCCGAGCAGTTGCCTGAAGGCTTACAATGTCACACTTTGTCACAGTCTGCCTGAGGCAGCGCCATCAAGCCACAGGATCAATCCAAGAATGCCCACGTGTAGGTCGACCCAAGAAGACCACTCAGATCGCAGAGTGTTTGGAAGTGGTCCTTAACTTATGTAGAATGTTTAACAGTACAGGCCGAAAGATCGAAGAGCTTTTGGAAACCAGCATCCTGTCAGTGTTGCAAGAGGTTAACTCCATTCCTACCTTACTTCACAGAGCCCACTTGACTCCCAGCACCTGATCTCACCATCTGCTTATCTGACATAAAAAACTCGCATCAAAGTCATCGCTGACAGAGGAAGTGATCAAAGGCCTATCATTACACAGATCACCTCCACATCTGCATTGAACCACCCTCAGAGGACTCGATGGAACTTCAAGAAAGCCAACTGGGACGATTACGAAAAGACCTCGAACAAATTACTCTCTGGCATAGCGGAAACAGAAGATGCTGATCTTTTTTTATGAACAAGTCACTAAAGACATTCTTACAGCTGTATCTCAGAAGATGACATGGGAATGCCGAAGAAATTTCAAACTATTTTGAAGTGAAGAAATCCAGGCTGCTGTGGCAGAAAGAGACAAAGCAAGACAGTCATTGGAAAATAACAGTCACCAATAGCCAAAACACACTACAAAAAGACCTGCGCTCAGGTGAAAGTGACTGTTACAAAAGCCAAAAAAGGAGAACTTGACTCAAGCCTGCAAAGATTTCGCCACAATGGAACAAAGGCTTGATCCCTTGTCGAACAACTTCTCGGGAGAAAGACAGTAAAGCAACCTCACACCCATTTGCCTTACAGACAGCACCGTCAAGAAAAGTACTCGGGGAAGGCCTATCCCCAGGTTGCTGTCTGATTTTAACTTTGTTCCTGATCTTCTTCAACGATATAACGAACGTCCTGAAATCCGAAAAGACTCTACGCTGATGATCTTGCTCCCTGGCAGACACATCACAGCACGGTAGTAGCAGCAGGGAAGTTAAATGAAAACCTCAAGAAGCTCCATAACTACTGTCAGAAATGGATGCTTAAAATAAACTGCACGAAAACAGTTCGCATCATCTTTACAAAGAGCCTTAAATCAGCCGAAGAAAATCTCCAACTGAAGATAGAAAATGAAAATCTCCCCAAAGTAGAACATCCAACAGACCTAGGAGTCAACTTTGAGCAAAGTCTAACAATGAAAAGCCAAGTGGAGAACATAAACAACAAGGCGAAAAGAAGACTACAACTTTTAAAGAAACTCACATGCTGTTCATGGGGATCAGATAAACACACCCTGAGAGCTCTACACCTTGGTTATGTCAAATCCTTTCAGGAATACAGCAATAGCCTACTCATTATGTGTAGCACAAATACGAGCTACTTGCAACGCCCTTCACAAGGTCCAAAACAATGCCCTTTCTTTCATTGACGGCGGCATGAGAGACACACCTACTGCCGCAAGTGAAATCCTTTCAAAAGTTGAGCCCATGCGAGAGTCCACAAACATAAACTGCAGCAGTTTTTTAATAATCAGCCTTAGACACAGTTTTCCTTTAACAACAGTTTTCTAAGAGCAGAGAGCAACAATGAAGCGAAAACTTTTGAATCGGACCGGTATTGTTGTGTGCTAAATTTGTGCACAATATCTGATTGTACACTTCATCTGCATGGGACAGCGTCATTGGTAAGGTATCAATTGACATCATACGGTTTTCCTATTTCTACATGGCAAGTGACCGCCGAGACTTTGCGCGCGCGCGCGCGCGC